TCAACTGAATTTTCCAAGCATTTTTCAAAGTCACCTAGAGTGTGATTCTTCTGCCACGAGTGCCTTCAGTTGTTGGCCTGCATACATCACTCTAGCCTGTTTACCAAGCATCAGTTCTCTCATTTCTTTGAAGGGTTGTAGCCATCCACTGGACAGCTGCCTAAATCTTTAAATCTTCTGGTGCTTAACCAAGCCTGCAACCTGATCCAAAGAGATCTTAGAGTTCTCTGTAGGGACCAGCTGTCTTGGAACCCTCCATTGGAAGATGTGCCCGCCAAGCATCAACTGCTGTGAGAGCAGCTGAAAACCACAGCTCTTTTGGCCTTACAATTTTTGACCCTGTCTTGAAATTCCTCATCACCTGCCTTACCCTTCACAACCAGCTCCTGTCTGGAACAGAAAGGATCTTCATTTTCATGTCTTCATGTGAGTTAATCCCTTTCCTCTTGCGCTTGTTATGAAACAAGCTTATTTTGGTCTGCGAGTAACCTTGGAATTGTACTGAGTTATGCTACCTGTTAAATGGGAGTTCAGCTACATTCTCATGCCAGCAGGGTAATAAAACTTTCCAAATAACATATAGCCAAGGTATGCATCAGAGTAGCCACCAACAAAATCTAGACATCTAAGCTGCATCTTTTTGTACATGTAAACAGTACACTTCCAAATGGCTTTCATGATGCCAGTTTTTTACTTAGAATTCAAAGTGGCTTATAATCTTTTTAAAGTTTTGTATCTGTTTTGTAAAAGCCAGTTAGGTGTAGTGGTTAAGGCACCAGGCTAGAAACTGGGAGACGGTGAGTTCTAGTCCCACTTTAGGCGCAAAGCCAGCTGGGTGACCTTGGACCAGTCACTTTCAGCCCTAGGAAGGAGGCAATAGCAAGCCACTTCCGAAATCTTGCCAAGAAAACTGCAGGGACTAGGCCAGGCAGTTGCCAGGAATAAACAATGACTGGAAGGCACCCAAAAAAAAAATAAAAAAAATTTCTGTTTTGTACCTGTTTTCAGAACTTTAGTTCAACTGATAGGGTGTTAATACCCCAAACCAGTAACAACATCCATAAAACTCAACTTGTGTCCTGAGACATTTCTCTCTTTACAGTCACATAAGTTGTGGATAACAGAGTTCAATTTGACCTACTTGTGCTGTGAACATTTTTAATGAGAGGTCAGTGCTCATTTTTTTTTCAGAGGTTATTCAGATAACCTACGTGAATGGCTGAATTAACAACACCAAATCCACAATCCAGGCAGTTGTTTGGATCTTTTGAAAGGATTTTGGTCAATTTTGCTGAAATATTTTTAGGAAATGTGTATGTATCCTGAACTTGTAAGGGAGAGAGGCAGGCTAAAAATAGATTCTGTTTCCTGCATGCAGGTCAGATGACCTACTGTATGCTAAAATCCACAGGAATCCTTCCCATTTGTTCTTTACTAATGTTACAAAGTACTGAACATTTATTTTGATGCTTCCATCTTTGCACACATATCTCTGCATATTCCACCACTAATGTTTTATTTTTTCCAATTCTTGCAGCGGCAATATTAGGAGTAAATGAACAAAAGGACTGCTTGATTGACAGAAACATTTATTCCTTGGAGATCTCTCTGTCTAGGAATGTTTATTTTGAATATTTGTATTAAATTATATTCAAATCCATGTTTCTATCCTGAAGAAATGTTAGTTTTACAAGGGCTTTTGGCAAAAATTATTTATTCCATTCCATTTTATCCAATAACAACCCAAAATGAATTCTTGGAAACAACCATGCATTTTAAAGAGGGAGATAGAAAGATCAACCTGGCTTTCTAGATTTTTACTAAGAATTAAATTCTTAAGCTTATAGTTAAAGTTTTCTTTCATTAAGGATTTCATTTTCAAACTTGTCGTTCTGAAGGTCTCTAATAGCTTAAAAGTACTTAATGAGCAATTTCTGAAAGTGATTAGAAAGTGAGGTTTGCGAACTTAGTGTCTTTTGAAAGTCTACCATCTTTGCAAGCAAGATGGCTAATCCTGTGGTCTCCTTATGGGGAGCAGCCATCTGGAGCACATCTGGATGGTCTCCCATCCTCTCCTTATCCAGAGAGGTTCAAGGAACCAGTCTACTCACCAGTTCCTTGGTCTTTGCCGTGATCGTCGGCTCCATTTTCGCAGAGCCGTCTTCAGTTTACATATCTCCCCTGGAAACTTTGGCTTTCTAGAGGGTGTAGAAAATACTGAAACTGTTTTCGGGAATAGCCCTGAAGCCCTCTGCAATTGGGGATAGAAGTGGGAAGCAAAGATTTTGCCTTTTCTAATGAGCTCTATCGATAAAAATCCTATTAATCAAAGAGCAAATATTGTTGTAAGCTGCACTCCTGTCCATACATATCAAATTAATGGATACCCCCTTCCCATCTTCCTCTAATATTTTTTTTAACAGTATGACTTTCTCTACCTGCTCTGTGCTGTTATACTTTATATGGTAATGCATTTGACACATTGACCAAGAATGGTGAGTTTTTCCAGACATGTGCATTCTTCCTTTATGTACTGTATTCCATTGGCTTAACACTGTCTCTGCTGTACAACATAGCAATAAGGGCATTGTCAGATCTTTTCTCACGTTCCCACCCCACTCTTTGTCTGGCTTTTAGAAGCATGTACAAATCATTGTGAATGTTATTAAGTGTAGCACATCCAGGGGATACTGTTCAGGGAACCCTGATCCCGAGTTCCTGTATTCGAAGAAAGATTTTCATATCCCCTTTACTTCATAACTGGGCTTTGAACCTAGTTCTTCTCAGACCAGATCTAACTTTGTATCCCAGCTTTTCCCTGTTTGAACATTGTCTAGATCTAATTTCCTTAAATTCATGGGCTGTGGGTTAGACAACAGGCATTCTCTGTCACCAGAGGTCCCCAGCAGCCCTTCTCATTAATATTTCACAAACCAGCATATATTTTCCCATTAGCCCCTAATCGTTTTAAGGGAAGGTATGCGTCTTGTATGTTTTAATTTTGTTTTGTGAGTATTTATTTTTGCTATACCACCCAGATTGGTATTTGGCATACCCACTTCAGGATTGCAGTAGGTTGTCATCATAGATAGGCAATCAGCTGCCTGAATTCTGAGAGTTGAAGTTCATGCATCTGGAGGGTGTCTAGGCTGGAGTAATGCTCTTTTGCCCACTTTTTCTTATATCAGTGCAGGAATCCACCTGCACAGCAAGAGAGATTAAAGAGAACAGATAATCTGACTAAAGGAATTCCAGTCTCCTTGACTCAAGAGCTGGTCAGAGGTTAAGAAGTTCTGTTCTTGTTTCAGATGGGAAGCAAAGAGGTTGGAGAAGTAGCCCATTTTAAGTTGATTGAGCAGTGAGAAACAGCTTGCCTAAGTAGATGAGTTCAACTGGGTTAGTTCCAGTTTCTGCCCAGCAACTTCTGTTTAGATGCACCCGTTTAAACAGAGCTCAAAACAAAAAATCCCTTGGCTTTTTTAACCTTTACATTTTGAACAGGAAAAAGAAAACTGGTATGAGCTGTTTCTCTAAAAATAGTAAAGACACTAGGATTGGGTTTACACATTGCTGCAAGACATAATGGAATTTGGTACTGGCTTAAAATGTTGCATGTATCAGCCATTGTAGTTATATAAACCCATCTAATGTAGTACATGTAGATTAAAACAAACCATGAATTAGCCACTAAATCATATGGGAACCTAGTCTACAAATATACCTGTATTTACCCTGATTGGCCTTAAGCTGCTATCTCATAGGAATGCTATATTTTATAGTATTAAATTAAGGGTGTTAATTTTTTAAAAAATTAAGGTGTTAACTTTAGGTCCTGGTGTTTGAAGATGAGTTTAAGAGGCAGGTCAGAGATTGCTGATGTATTGTTTGCCCTGGATCCCAAACTACTCCCTGTCTGGTCCTTGTGGTGGTATTAGAGATTATTATGTTTATTATCTTGGGGTGCTTCATCCCCATTAGAGTCACCTCTATTGCCTGGAGCGGCTCAGCATTTTATAGTTTCCTGATAATTAACCTTGGGTTTCTGAAGCTAAATATAGTTTCTGTATCACATATTAGTGTGACAATGCATATGGAGGAGAAGAAAAATAGGATTGAAAATAAAATAGATTTTAAGCAATTTAGACTTCTGAAACTTATCTAAAATAGTACTTCATGCAGGAAAAGAACTGACCTTAAGCAGAGGAGTCTTTTTAATTCTTCACTGAAGTGTTCTGTAAAATACAGTATTCTCTCATTTGGTCTTTCCTTGCTTACAAGGAGTCTCTTTTTCCATGAGAACAATGATAGAGTCATCTTCATATAACATCACTCCTTCCTACATTATCAGACTGCCATGAGAAGATATGGGCTTCTATCTGTTGACGTTGGCTCTGTAGGAAACTGGATCACAATTTCTGCAAAATGGAAGATGCTTTACATTTTATGTATTTATTTATTATTACAACCAGTGATATGGTGCCTACTCATCAGACTTTAGGAGGCTTACAGTATTAAAAACATGGAGGTATGATACATATAATAATTTCCCAAAGAGAACCATATCTTCACTGCTGTCAGCTACTAAGAACTTTCTACTGTATTCCAAAGGCTGTATGAAAAAGGACTGTTTTACCCCATTCCTGAATGCCCAAAAGGTGGGGGGTATCTTAACCCTGGGAGACAGAGTATTCGATAGTGAGTAGGCTATTAGTGAGAAGACCATATTTCCCAGTTACCTAGGAAATAACTGCAATAATTCTACTAGAATCTGGATATAATTATAGTAGAATGGTTGAGAATCCTGGATGATAGGACCTTACACAAAAAGGTCTGAAGGACCTTACACAAAATGTTGGACACTCTCACCCACTCTTGCCCACAGTTTTTTCCACTCTGGTCCCCTTGAAGCACCCTCTCTTTCTCCCTCTAGAATCCTCATTTCTCACTTCCTATTCCCTCTTCCTTTTATCAGGTGGTGGCATTAACATATTTCCTTAAAAAGCAAAATGGGAATCAACTCCAGCATCATGATTTCTCCAGAGCACCTTCAAGGGACATAAGAGCAATCAGGATAGGATTGCTACTGTTCTGTTTTGTTTTGAAGATGCATGAAGTGATGCAGTTGCAACCTCTAAGCTGTAAATCCCTGGATTTCTGCCTGGTTTTCAGTCATTATGGCTTCACTGGATAGACCCTAATATCAAAAAGGGTCTAGAGACCACTGTGATACATCTTAGCTATAGTAAGGTGGGTGGCATTTGCTTTAAGCAGTAAATTCTCTAACTTTGCACTAGCTTTTTCACTGAAAAAATGTTTTTCTTTTCCACTTTGTCTCCTGGTACCGCAGTTTATTTTATGACTTCCCTAAGCCTTAAATATTTTTGCTATTCACTGGCATATTCTGTGGGGATCCATATGATTAATAATCCTGGAACTGAGGGTTAGTAAAATATCACCAAGCTCTGTAAGAACATCCATTTTTCAAACACGTAAACACTGATTGTCTGGCCACCAATAGTTTGAGTAGGCCGCTTCGGAGCTGGTGGTGGATTGAGGACTGATAGAGATGTGTGGAGGCTATTAAATTGCGTGACACATTGATTTGTTCAACACTGTATCATAAACAGGGACGAAAATTATGGTTGAGCTCCTTGTTCCAGAAAAAAGTATAAAGCCTTCCTACAGTAGCTGATTAATTAAAGAATTCATATGAAACTGTGATCTGATTGGTTTTGAGGGTAACAGCCAGTGGCCACGCTGAGGCTCTGTGACTGACTAGATAGAAACCAGACACCCTGCTTATATTTGCATCTGTATATATTTTAAATCTGATGAAAAGCAGGAAATGGGGAAAAAATTGGCAACTTTTCTTCATTTTACTTAGCAAAGTCTTGAGGCTTAGTGCATATTTGTGCTCTGTAGGCTGCGTGGAAGTTTAGATTTATATGCAGTCACTTTTAGTTTTTTACTAGGGCATCTGAAGTGAGAATGAAGAAGAATTTCAAATATATTCATGGCCATATTCACAAGAGGAAGAGATATTCATACAGCATGGCCATTGAGAGACACTCAGCTTCTATAAAAATATACATGTTATAAAGAAAAGACGCCTGGAAGTTTCACATTCTCAGTCCTAAAAGTATCGGAACTGGTTGTAAGGGAATGGTCAGAGGAAGAACAGTTTGTATGTTCTTAGAGCACTGCAATAGAAAGAACAGGTTTGTGAAACAGTTTTGGGTGTTACATTTAATTAATATGAATTAATTATAATCATTCTATGCAACATCCCTACAGTTTAACCAGGGATAATCTTGTTAGGGCTCATCCCAGTGGTAGCCAGAGCTGAAGCAAGCAGTGGATGGGGCTAAAGCCAAAATGGGGACACCATGCTTCCTTCTCTTCTCAGTTTAATTTGTGTTAAATAAAATGGATACATATTAGCAGGTAAAAAATAATAAAGGGAAGATAGAGAAAAAAACAGATACACATCCTTAGAAATACTGAGAGTTTCATACATAAATGCATAAATGTTCTTAAGGAGAAATACAGATTTTAATCATTCATATTCAGTAGTTTCTAGCAAAAATACATTTGCATAGTCTTGTATGCATAGTCTGTTAATATAGCTAAAATAGAAGCTGAATAAAACAATCCCAAATTGAAGGGCTTGTCCAAACTCTTTGTTGTGATGCTAACTTTTTTGCACTTTTAAATAGCATTGGTCCAAAGAAACGTGTGATTTTGTTTTCCAATTTTTGTAATAGTAACAGAAAACCAACTAAAAACTAGCAAGAAGAGAAATTGACAGACAAAATTAATTTCTTGCATTGCAATAGTTTACAGACCTTGGAAAATATTGTCAATGAACATGAGATCACCCATTAGACCTGGGTTTTGTCTCACTCCTGGATCGGGAGGCCCTGTCAACAGTAATTCACCCCTTGGCCATCTCCCATTTCGATTACTTTAATGACCCCTACATGGGGCTGTACCTGAAGAACATTCAGAAGCTGCAACTGGTACAGAATGTGGCAGACTGGGTAGTGATGGGTGAATCCAGTATACCTGGGTGACCCCACTGCTTTGGGAACTGCACTGGTTGCTGATTAGCGTCTGAGTGTGATTCAAAGTGTTGGTTGTTATGTTGAAGGCCCCAGATCTGGTTATCTAAGAAGCTACCTTCTCCCATATTTATCTTCCCATCTGATCACATTGAACAGAGTCAACTTCCTTCAGGATGCATCCTTAAGAGATTGCCATCTGATGGCACCTTAGAAGCACAACCTTTCTCAGTAGCCACCTCCACACTCCCTTCCTGCAGAGATTTGATCAGCTCCATTCCTCCTGGCTTTAGGAAAGTTATCAAGATCTGTCTGTCCTGTCTAGCACAGGAGGAGGGGATGTGAAGATTAAAAAGGGGGTTTCTGAGCACAGACTTCTTTATTCTCTGGCTTTTCCATTTGGTATTTTAGTGTACCTTTGGAATTCTTTTTCTCTCTTTTTTACTTCCCTTGGCATAGAAATGATCAAAATAAAATAAGATAAAAGGCATGATTAATTACACATTTTTCCCAATTCCTTCAAAAAAACTGCAGACCAAACTTAATAACTAAATCAGCTTTGCAACCAGAGATAAGTTCTAACTAATGTGAATGCAATCCCTCCAATGAAACCTAGAAAGATTTTGATTAATGTATTATTATTTTAAAGGGATATAGGACCATCTGCAAATTTATTTTATGATCAGCTCTTCATGACTTGCCCAAACATATTCATCAAGTTTGGATACCCCAAACGTTCCATTTTTAAAAATATGACATGGAGTATATTTTTATATTGAAGCAATTTAATTAATTTCAAGAATGTTAGCACCAACTCTGCTCTTGGGCAGGGTGAAACAGCTGCCTCAGTTACCCAGTGTTGAGTGTCATGCAAAACTATGTTGATTAAGTTCTTCTTTTCAAGGTCAGAGAGAGTTCTGGGATTTTCTGCCTCAGCTGTAAAAAAAAATAAAATCCTTGCCTTGCCTTTGAAACTGTTCACATTGAAACAGAGGGGAGGGAATTGTAATCTGCTTTGGCTCAAGCTGCAAAATACTATGGCTGGCCCTGAAAATGATAGCTGATACAATTTCAGCTATAAGATAAAGAAATCACATTCCCCCCTATTGCTTTTCATTGTGTGTGTGTGTGTGTGTGTGTGTGTGTGTGTATTGGATTGATGAATTGTTTAATCATGAAATATACAGTATATGAGTTGGAAGGGACCTTTCTTTTAATTTCAACACATTGAGCTTTGCCCTGACCTTGGTTTTAGCAGGGCAGACCCTACCTTTTCTTGCATAGGAATGCCTTTCAGGTCTTAGTAGACTGCTACCCTTAGTGTTCCCTTTCCAGAGGTAAATATACCCAGCTCCTTTAACCTTCCTCAGAGAATTTGGTTTGTAGACCCCTTTTCTATCAACCTGGTAGTTCCCTTCTCAACCCACTCCAGCTTTTCCCTTTTAAAGTGCCATGCCCAGAATCTGTATTTATTTATTTTATTTACTTATTAAATTTCTCCCCTGCCCATCTCCCCCCAATGGGGGACTCTGGGTGACTCACACAAAACATTAAAACCATAAATACATGTATGGGGGACTCTGGGTGACTCACACAAAACATTAAAACCATAAATACATGTATGGGGGACTCTGGGTGACTCACACAAAACATTAAAACCATAAATACATGTAAATACATTAAACATA